GGAAGCACCAGGACATTGAGCCTGGCTCCAGCCTGTAGATCTGGAATGCTCAGTCCCAGTGGGAGCCTGAAATGGCACCTTGGAATGCAGGGCAAAGGGGCTCTGTCCAGCTCTTTCCCTGATCTTTATGTTTCTGTCCCTCTGCAGGTCAAAGGCATTGTTCCAGAACACAATTGTCTGTCCTGGTTGTTGTCCTGGTTCCCATTGTAGTGGCCCTCACCCTGTCTTGGACACTCCCATGTAAGTCCTGCTAGAAATGTAACACTGGCAATTAATTTGTGTCTCTCTGCCACTGCCTGATGTCCAGGCCATAACATCCAAAGTCAGGAGGAATGGAAGTCTGGTGTGAAAGCCAAGGACAACAGTTTTTAGCCTCCCATGGCTGTAGAAGGAAATCTGCAAAAAGCCAAGTTGTTTGAAGGTTCAAAATTCCAAAAGAAAAAAAATCTATGACAAAAGGGAAAACGACAATGATCAAACACTGACATATTAATGATGCAAATATTTTGAAGAAACCAGTGAGGATCAAATAATGCCTTTTGGTCCTATGATTGCAATCCTTGAGAATATTTCCAGGTGTTGTTGTCTTATGGCATAGGGAGATGACACCAAATATCTTACAATATTTTGAATTTAATCTCATTTCAAAAAAGCATCGAAGTTGCAAATGAATAGAATCTATTTGCAGCTTATTTCAATTAAAACCTTGTGCTCAGTCTCTGCACTGAGTTCATAACAATTTTTAACTTACAATAACTGATAAATGATATCTGGTGTAAAATGTATTCTTATCCACACCAGGAAAAATCCATTTGATTCTTCCTCTGAATTATATCAAGGTTTCACCTTTAAATTTCACATGTCATTTCTTCTTTCCATCCTTTGGTAGCTGAGAAAACTTGAGATGCTGCCACAACCAATCACTCCCAAGTCCCACAGTTTGTCACTTCCTCAGAGATGCACATGGGGGAGACATGGCAAAGCCATTGACACTTGAAACTCAATAAAAAGGGCTGGGGGAGGCAAGTCATTCTTAATTTTAAAAGCAAATATTTTGGGATTGGTATCTGACAGTGTCCTAACATTTATAAAATGACTAACAACCAAGGAAGGGAAGAATTAAATAAATTCAAAGCAGCACAACGTAACAAAGTGTAATTAGCATTTACTGCAGCTTAAACATTGAAAGAGGAGTCATTAGACTTGGATCCAGGGCTGGCTTTAGTTAAAGCTCTTTTGTGGGTTCAGTACTGCTTTAGTGACCTGAAATTTATATACATTAAGAAACTCGACATTTAGATGGAACTCAAGGAACAAAATCATAATTAAGACACAATTTGTGTAAATGAACTCAAGTGTTGCCTTTTACTCAACATGGCCATTTTATGATTCATGTAGTAGACCCATGAGCAAAGAGGCAGAGTTTGCATTCTATTGGGTGATGGGGGCTCAGAGAGGTCCAGCAGAGCTCTGACAGTGCCTGGCTCAGTGGCCACTCCGTGCAAGCAGAATTTGTGTTCTTATTTCCAGATGGTCCAAATACAGGCACCCAAAAGGGCTCAACAACATCGTCCCGCACCATTCAAGAGGACACAACAACACTGTCCCACATCCCTGAAAGGGCAACAGGTAGGCAATCCTCTGTCTTTCCAAAGGGAGTTGCCAGAAGTCTGTTGGATTGAAGGGTAAGGAGAATGGAAAAGGAACTCTGTCAGGATTTTGTTCAGAAGGAACTCAAACAACCCCTCTGCCATGTCAGCAGTACAAACCCTCCCCTGGGACACTGCCAGGATGAGCTCTGGAGCCCATGGAGGGTTTGCATTTGCAGCTCCTTTGGAAGCAGTGCAGGCTCAGCTCTGCATTCCTGCTCCCCAGGGAAGAGCTGATGCCTCTGTGCTGCCAGAGCAGAGCAGTGGGAGGCAGGGAAGGCACAGGAGGAACAATCCCTCAGGCACCCAGCCCTGCAGGGAGCAGGATGGACAATGTGCCTGTGCTGCTTTCCCAAGGCCCCTCCACTGCCAGCCTGTGACCTCAGTGCAATTCCAGGCTTCCCTTCAGGAGCTGGCTGGATCCCCAACCAAAGTGTCTCCTGCAGGCCCTGTCTCCCTGAATCCCATCCCCTTTCCAGCTGCCCCTCCCTGCTCCTCCTGCTGCCCTGCCTGGCAATGCACACAAAGGTTAGTGCTGCCAGTGACACCTCTGCTGCCCAATTCTGCATCAGGCAGATCAGACTGTGGGGATCTGGGAGCTGCTTTTGTGCCCTGAGCATTTCTCTGTATGCCCTGAGCAAAGCTGGGCAAGGCTGGATCATGTTTGCTGTGCTGCTGCTCCCAGTCTGGCTCCTGCCTGCTGATTCTGGGCTGCCATCAGCTCCAGAGGCTCTGGGGGATCCCTGGTGCTCTGCTGACAATGCTCAGCAGGAGCACACAGGCAATTCTGGGGTTGGAATGGGCTCTCTATCTCTCCATTGTTGTGGCATCCTTTGGTCAGTGTCAAAATGGATTTTACACACCTCTTCTTCCCTTCTGCAGTCTGCCCCACAGCATGGAGGAAACATGGCAGAAAATGCTACTTCTTTTCTCCAGAGAGGGAACCAAAGGACTGGAATGCCTCCCGTGCAGAATGCACTGCCATGGGCTCAGACCTGGTGGTCATTGACAGCAAGGAAGAGCTGGTGAGATCCAACTCCTGGGGCAGCTGCTCGGGGGGCTGGAGCTGCCAGGCCAAGGGCTCAGTAGTGACACTTGTGCCAGCTCCTGTCCCATGGCCTTGGGCTCTGGGACCTGCTGCCAGCCATGCACAGCCCAGGCCTGGCAGTGGCAGCAAAGGCCTGCACAGGGAGAGGCCTCCTGGGCCTTGCACTCCTGTCCCTGGAAGCTCCTGTGCCCAGGCCTGGTCCCATGGCAAGGAGCAAAGTCCCTGCCCAGCTGGCTGGGCTTTTCCAGGGATTTAGCACACAGGGCATGGAGCTTGAGCAGACACTTCTTTGGGAGAGCCGTGGCTGGGACAATACCTGAAAAGGCTTTGCCACCCCCATCCAAAGGGAAAAGTGGCCCCAGGAATGAAGTCACACCTGACTGACATTATTGCACCGCTGTAATGGCACCACAGGTGTATTATTACATTTATTATCTTCATATGGCGCCTGCAAAAGGGAGATGATCTTCAATATAAATGGAGAAATTCATCCTCTGGAGCAGTGGGCAGAGGTGTTGCGGCTGGATGCACACTGCACTCTCTGTGCTGCCTGTTCAGCCCTGAGCCTTCTGGGCCTCTGCTCAAGAAAATGTCATTTTCATTTATTCCCAGTGTTGGCTTCCTTTCCAGAATTTCCTGCACAAAAGATCAAAAGATAAATACTACTTCCTTGGTCTCACATACTCTCCAGAGGAGCAGAAGTGGAAGTGGATCAACAACGTGGAACATGACCCAGCCATGTGAGCTCCTTCCAGCAAGTCCCTGCCATGCAGTGTCTGGGAAGAGGAAAATGCCAAAGGCAGAGCAAAGAGCAGAGAGCCCAAGGGAGATCAGGGACTGTGCTGTGGGGGAAGCTGATTGCTGGAGGTGCAGGTGCTTCAGCACAAGCCTGGGCCAAGGCAAGGGAGCCTTGCAGGGCCAGGGAACACAGGGCTGTCCTGTAGGGATGGCAGGAGAGGACACAGCTGGAGTTCTGCTGGGGAAGGAAGGATCTGCCTGGATGCAGCTCCCTGGGGAAAGGAAGGGAACAGGAGGCAGGGACAAGAGAGAGAGGGGGATGTCAGCACCATTGGCTGGAGGGAACCAAAGATGGAGAATGTTTCTGGATGGGAAAGCATTGCCCAGAACCTTTGGTGGGAAATGTGGGGAACAGCAGTGAGGAAGGGGAGGGAGATTCCAGCAAGGCAGTTCCTGCTCCCAGGGGCAGTAACACAGCTTAGCAGCCAGGCCAGGTGCCACTCTGCCTTTCACTGCATGTCAGGAATGTAACCAAATTTGACTTCTTTCCCCTATTCAGGTTCAGCATAAGCCGACCGTACAGCGACTATGACTGCACAGCCATTGGATTTGGTGAAGTACACGCTACAGGTTGTGGTGGAGACAACACAACACAAAATATGTGTGAAAAAGCTCCAACAATGACAAAAAGGCATTAGAAGTAGAGCTAAAAGCAAGAGGTGCAGGCTGATCTGTTCTGCCCAGCTTCCTGTAGGAACCATGCATGGGATGTGTCCCATTTCCTTTGAGCTGCCCAGTCTCTGCTCCCAGGCTCTCCTGCAGCCTCTCTCCAGCCTCGGGGCTGAGCTCAGCCCAGCCTTTCCCTGCTGCTGCCTGAGCCTGGATGGATCCCCTCTGGAAGAGCTGGCCCTGGCAC